GGTGTCTCAAAGGTTCCACATTCTTCATCAACTTCCAAGCCTCCCAAAAGGACCCAAAGAACTACAAAGGTTGTTAATTCTTCATCATTCCTTTGGTTCGTGTTTAATCTTTCTATAACTTGCAAGAAGATCCATGGTGGGTATAAAATGTTTATGTTATTTCAAAATTAAAGTCTTCCGTTGCCATAATTTTTCTAGTTTATGAAACTATTTTTGAACTAAAACCCAACAATGTGGTGGCATCATATCTTATATCATAATAATTAGAGTTGGTGGCTAAATTATAATATGAGCATAATTACGGTACTCCATGTAATTAAGGATCTAGGACGTAAATATATTTATGGTTGCATTTTAATTACGATGAATATAGCTTGCATATGCGAAGTTTAATTGGAAATAAAAGTGCATATTTTGAGATTGGAAGTTTATACTCAATAATAGTTTTCGAGATAAGTTTTACCTATTTAATCGAAATTGTGGATTAAATATAAAACACGATAAAATATTATTAAACCATGGATTTACTTGAATAATTGGTCTTATATGAGGATCTAATTTACTAGGAGGATGATCAAGGTCGAGACACTTTTGGACGTAATGATATTACAAGAAGTTGGTGTTGGTTTCCCCATCGATATCAAGGTGTTTAGAGAGCTAGGAATCCATCTTGGACACTTCAATGATTTTATTCTGTGTTTTCCGCTTCATGTGAGTTCTTCTCACTATATCAAGAGGGTCTAAGGCACCAAGGCCGACCATTTTTGGATTGTATCCTGGTTATATGATGATGATATGTTTAGTGATCTGTTAGATATGTATCCTGGTTATAGGATGATGCTATGTTTAGTGATCTGTTAGATCGGTATCCTGGTATATAGGATGATGCTATAATTAGTGATCTGTAGATCTGTATGACTGTCTGTAGATGCTAGCTAGCGTATGATATATATGTGTTGATTGTGTGATTGCGGGTGGGTTGAGGCGGTCCTGCTTTGTGCTCTGGGCCAATATACCCAGGGCGGCCCGGATAGACTGCAGACCCATCAGGGCGTACTAGTCAGACCGAAGGCCCAGAGAACGGTCCAGACAGGCTAAAGGCCCGGGAGGGCGGACCAGACATGCTGAAGGTTCTGAGAGTGGGCCAGATAGACTGAAGGCCCGATGAGGGAGGTCCAGTCATACTGAAGACTCTGAGAGTGGGCTAGATAGACTGAAGGCCCGGTGAGGGCGGTCCAGTCATACTGAAGACTCTATATGCATGTTGTTTGTTATGATATTGTTATGGTTTGTATGGCGTTGGTATTTTGGGGGAACTCACTAAGCTTCGGGCTTACAGTTGTTGATTTTGTTTCAGGTACTTCGGATGATCGTGGGAAGGCGAAGGCTTGATCGTGCACCTCCTCACATTTTATAACTATGATTTATGGGTTTCGCTGATATGAAACTATTTTGAAAACATTTTGTAATAACTAATGGTTTTTGGATGCTTGAAAAAGTTTTAAATTTGCTTGAATTTTATGGATGTTACATTCCTTGCACCTTGGCTTGAAGTTTCACCAACCCTTCTTCGTCCTCCCATATGGACGATTTCTAACCATCTTAGGGTTTGTTAAATTGATCATTCTCCTAGTTATTTTTTATTCCACTCTTTGGTGTCACTGGGTGTGATATCATTAGAGGGATTCTGGTTTGGGTCCTCTCATCCAAGCAACTTCATGGAGGATCAAGATCTCAAGCATGGAGATCAAGGGCTACATAAGAGGTATGTTTTTCTTCTTTTTGTTCTTATGTTTTCATAGGGTAGCTGTAAGTAGTATGAAGTCATAGATCCTAGGGTGCATGTACACTTAGGTATATCATATATTGATTTTTTTGCTACCTAGTTTAAGTGTATTTGATGTGTAGAAAACCCAACAGTGGTATCAGAACCGTTGGTTCATAATTACTAGCACCCTTAATCCATATTTTCTATAAATGCTTGTTTGAAATTGAAGAAACCTTTGTTGCAGCTCACGACGTGAGAGCCTTATGCTCACAACGTGAGCAACCATGATTAGGGTTTCTCCTTTTTATTTTATTTTTTTCAAACTTGAAGATTATTTTAATATGGATAAATATCAAATTTAAAATGTTTTAAATCTGGAAAATAATAAATATTATTTAAATATGATTGTTTGAATTTGAATATTTATTTATTATTTAAATAGTGAATTTAAATATTTAATATTGTTTATAATAGAGATTTATAAATTTGAATATTAACCCCTTATGAATTGTTAATTATTACATTGCGCCCTCACAATTAATTATAATTAATAATAGACAACTAAATTTAAAGAGTTTTAAATTTATCCCTTATATATATTAGAATTGTATCTATTATATGTATAAGAAAGTTACAACATACGCCCTCACGTGGTTAATTATTGACATTGTCATTCTTACCATGAATAGGGTCACTCATTTTGATGTAGGGGTTTAAGAAGGTCTTTATGATTCCTAATGATGTTGGTTTTTAATATGCTACGCGCTTACCACCCTCACCGCCTTATTTCATTTTGAGAATGGAGTTACCGAAAGGGTTTGATAGTGATAATGACAATCTAAAAGTATTCTAAATATAAGTATAAAACAAAATCCCGTTTTATTAATAGAATGTGAAGATCATGTTATCCATGAAAATTACACATTCTCTTTATATTCTGTTGATGGAGCTCATGTGGTTAACTATCACATTAATCTAGAGTATAGTTTAGAATGATATGAAACTCGCGAATCTCAAGCGTAACTTGAGTCGGGGACCATGCAATTTTGCATGGTCAATTCATAATCTATTTAAAGTGAATCTTATGTTATCCTTAAAAATTGCACATTCTCTTTATAACTCGTTGATAGAGCTCGTGTGGTTAACCGACACATCAATTTGAGAGTATAAGTAGAGAATGATGTGGAACTCATGAATCTCAAGCGTAACTTGAGTTGGGGACCACATAATTTTGTATGGATGATTCACCATCTGTTCAGTGATCCGTAGAGACCCCGTCATTGAATTTGAGATGACATAATCCATGATTAAAATGCCATTGATAGTCAATGAATCTCAAAGATCTAGGAATTTTGTGGTGATCGAAATTGGCAAAGCGCTTTGCCTGCCTAAATAACTTAATGGTGTGTTTACGACATCCCTTTACACATCATAGAGCCAAATATGGATCCTAGCCTTCTTAAATAATTTTATTTAAGGTAATTATTTTCTAAGGATAAGTAAAACAAACTATAATGGAAATTGATATTGAATGATGTCTATGACCTTATCCACTGAAATCTACTGTTATAAAACCTTTAAAAGGATTAGCTATGGGGATGATCAATCTTGTCAAATTTGTAGTTTTGGAATAGTTTTCATAAACGAAAGGAAAGATCATGCCTTTAATAAAGCTCTTCCTAGGTTACTCCAACCATTGCATTCTTAACTATTAGAAAGAGTAGTTTTCAAGTGTACGTTGTAAATTGATTTATTGAAGTAAAATGGAATTTTCTTGAGTTAGGAGTTGACTAGGGTTAGTTGACTAGCTAACATGTAGATATAATCAGTTCATTCTGATTTTGATATGAACAACTTGGAAATGTCCATGAAGGAGTTGTTGTGTAACATGTTGAGGTTTCCTTTTGGAACTAACACGGCCAATCATAGAAACTCAAACTTCAAAACACTCTCATATTTTGCTATCATGAATACAAGTGTCAAGAAGAAGAAAGCCAATTGTCCATGGGTTAAAAGGTGATTAGTGCTGGTATACTTAATCTAGGCACAAATACTAAAGACAAAGGAAGGCTTATTCTAAGACATGTTCTGATAGTTATTTGTTTCCATAACAAGAAAGGACTAAGAAAGCATTAGGGGTGAGCATTTGGACCGGTGGGCCAGACCGGACCGTTTTTTTGGACCCCCAGGCCGGTTCTCGGCTCTAAGATTTCATCAAAACCGGTCCGATTTTTTTCTCAGTTCGTTCCAGTTTTAATTGAGTTTAGAACCGGTTGGACACGATTTAAAAAAATTCAATTTATTTGGCTTTGAGTCTTTGAATGATGGTCCCTTTCCCATAAGTCCGTAACCAATTAACCATTACATACTCGTTCTACGACCGATTACCAAACGAAAAGAAAAATCAATTTCAATCATCGAAACCCAAGTGTGGACGACTCGGACGTAACCCTTCTCTGATTCTATCAACCTAGCAAGTCTCAAATATCAAGTCTCGATTTTCCAGGTTTCTTCCTTCTCTCAACGACTCAACCTTCTCGGCTTTTCCCTCTTCTAGTCTTCATCAGTCAAAATCGAGTAAGGGTTACAATTTTTGGTTGTTTTTTTGTTAATCAGAAATAATGGAATCAAAAATCTGGAATGCTAATTGGATTGGAGGTGATGATGATGAAACTCAAGTAAGGGTTACAAGTTTTGGTTGTTTTTTTGTTAATTTTTGTTGAATTAAAGAAGAATGTTGTTATATTTAGTTGAATTCTTGTCAAAAAAAAATATTGTTATTATATGTAAACTAGTGTTATGATTTTTTGTTAATTTTTGTTGAATGTCATAAAGTATGTTGTTATATTCACTACTAGAAAAACAGCCTTTTATGACGCGCAAATAATGACACACACTGATAGAGGACGCGCATTTGTGCGTGCCCTAAAAATTAATGCCAGCCTTCCAAATTTTGAAGGATAGAGGACACGCATTTGTGCGTGCCCTAAAATTATTGTCCCACAAAAAAAAATTACAAACACGGAGGGTGCTTTTTTTAAATGTGCGTCCTCTGTGAATGGCGCTTTATAATTTTTCTCAAAACGCGCGATCTCAAAACGGGGAAATAAAATCCTCCTAAAATTCTAAAATTTTTAAATACACCGCTTCATTCTCTTCTTCCTTTCTCTCTACAAACCCTAATCACGATACCTCGCCTCCCCTTGCCGGCAACATTAGGTCCGGCGACCTTATGCTTACTTCTTCTATTGCTCAAATTTACAAGCCATATCTTATTAAGGTGAATTTTAACCTTAATAATGGTAAAAGTCCAAAGCAGCCACACCCAAGTCCCAAAGGAGAGGTTCTACTTCTATCAACAATGGCGTTCTCCAATCCTCTCTTCTCATCACCACTCCCTCTGTCCCCACTCAGATCCCATGCGCCGTTCCCCCTAAACTTCTCCTTCACAACGAAAGCAACGCTCGATGATTCTTCCTCTACCGATGGTCCCACCTCCAAATCACCCGAGACTGAAATTTTCGAGGACCGACTCTCGCAGGTACGTCTGTGTTATCGTAGTGGCACAGGGAAGAAAGTCGACGCACGGAAGAGCAAGAAGTCCGGGATGAAATCCGGTGGGAGTTCAAGATCTAGGGCAAACATGTACCTCCCATCGGTGCCTTTGAAGGAGCCGATTTCAGGTTGAGTGAAAGTGGATTTCGGGTTCAGCCCTTATTCGGAGAGGATGAATGGGTGGGTGGGGTCCTGAAAATACCATACGTCGGCGATCATTTTTATTCAGGTTTATGAACTCATCATTTTTCAGCTTTCATAATTTTTATATGAATTAATATGAATTTTTCTTATTTATTTCCACTACAGGTGCTCAAGAACTTTGACATCCGATCTCATGAAATTCCTGAAGTCATGAAAACAAGGATAGGTGAAGTTGGGTAAGTTCTTATATTTAGTAAATTGTTTTCACTTTTCACATCATCAACAAGTGATTTTGGTGTTGCTGCACAACTAACAAGAACAATGTCCAAACGTAATACGGTAATAATAGCTTTAAATAACTCTTAGATTGCTATGTTTTGGTTAATTTTTCTGTTTTCATCTTTTCATAAACTCGTCCTTGTTAGTTAAATTAGTCCCATGTATTCTTCATCTTTTGATGATGATTAAGTGAGTTGACTTCTCCATAGTCCAAATAGCACTATTAACATTTATATTTCAAGAGTAAATTAATTTATTGACGTATTTTGTTTTCCTGTTTATTGGTACTCCCCACTGGATGGCTCCAGAGGTAATCCAAGAAAGCAGATATGATGGGAAGGTAAATTTTACATTTTTTTAGCTACCTATATCTATTTGGGACTTGTTGTGATCGTCTATCATATATAGCTATTGTTTAACATCTGCTAACATGATGAAGCACTCCATTTTGTGATAATGTTTTTGATTAACTGATAAAGCACTCCACTTTGATTCTCAAGAATTATAGCCACTTAAAAATGGAATTTGTACTTATTGTTATATAGAATTATACATCAAACCCTTTATATGATTTGACACGGGGAATATAAGTTTCCAAAAGTAGCTTGTTAAACATTATGACATTTGTATAATGTACTTTCTTTTTCCAGGTAGATGTGTGGGCCCTTGGGGTGTCTGCAATAGAAATGGCTGAGGTATATTCACTGATGTTTTTCATAAAAATTCAGACCATGGTTTTCAATATCAAATGTTTTCTCATTTAATAATATATTTTTTTCAGGGCCTTTCTCCAAGATCAAATGTGCATCCAATGAGGGTTAGTAATAGTGCTTGTATATTTTTTGTATTTTCATATTTGTATTTCTGATGTTTAAATAATTCAGTTTCAGAAAATTAACCTTCTTAACACCTGCAACAGGTGTTATTTATGATTTCCATTGAACTAGCTCCTATGCTTGAAGATAAAGAGAAATGGTTTGTCCTTTTCTCTTGTTTTAATATCTTCAATTCTGATTTTAATTTTGTGTTTGTGTTTGTATTTTTGGTTTTTTTATATATATTTTTAATAATGTTTCATGTTCCAGGTCTCTTGTGTTCCATGATTTCATTGCAAAATGCCTTACAAAAGACCCTCGTATACGTCCCACTGCTTCTGAGCTGTTAAAGGTATGCTGCTGTAGCTTTATCTTATACATTATATAAATTAAAAATATACCCTTCTGTTTGTATTATACACACTTCACTTGAAACAACATAAATTCATAGAAAAATGCAAATCTGGAGCTTCTGCAATGTTGCCCAAGCTTGAGAAGGCAAAGATAAATAGGGCTGCTATGGCTTTGGAAGCAGAACATGTTGCTTCAGAGACTACTATACCAGGATACGAGGTATATAACTATATATTTTTATTTATATCTATTTATTATTTATTTGTATATCTCTTTATTTACTGTTGTGTTATGCACACAGACACTTAGAGTAAAAATGAATGAAGAATATGGAGATATTGTTCCATCTAAGCCTCATCAAGTCCCTAATGGAGTACCTCTTGTGGGTAGTTCAGTAAAACCTGATGTTCTAGAAGAGAAAGAAAAGGTATTCTCTCTGCAAATTTTGATTAATAAATAGCAATTTTTAATGTTAAAAGAAATCTTGTTGGTTTATAATGTCATATTATTAGTTTAAAAAAAATTGAATATGATCAGGTGATTTTGGAAGTGTGATAATCCATGGTGGAGTTGATATAGAGAAAACAGCTGCTAAAATACCATCGACTCAAATGACTAAAGAGCCCTCATCCTCGTCAGCACATGGTCAAATCTTGTCAATGGCTGATCCCGGAGAAGATTCAGTTAGTCCATGATATGTTTCTATATCATAAAAGATATGATATTCATGTATTAGTGTGAATTTGTAGTTTGACCATGCACATACTCAGGTTGACCAAGAAAGTTACTACAGTTGAAACACCGGGTACCGAACCCACATCACAAGCTACTGGAACCAATGGTGGTGTCATCACCGGGACAACTAAGAATAAAGGTGTTAATCGCAAAGCACTAGACACGATGGAGTGCTGACTAATTAAATAATTGAGGAATACAACTCAATATTAGGAACAAGCAGGTAAAATGTAACACCCATAAAATTCAGGCCAATTTAAAACATTTTAACCCATTCAAAAACCATTAAGTTATTACAACTTGTTTTCAAAATAGTTTAAACATCAGAGTATCCCCAGAACTAAATCACAAAATCATGAAATATGAGGAGCGGTACGATCACGCCTTTTCCTTGCCACGATCACCTGATGTACCTGAAACAATAAACTGAAAACCGTAAGCTCGAAAGCTTAGTGAGTTCCCCTAAAATACCCGTACACACATAACCATACACATACAGCAATGAACAGCATATTATGGGTCCAATCAACCGTCAGGTTGGAATACCCCAGTCCCTCAACCGTCGGGTTGGAATGCCAACATACTACGAGTCCAATCATCCTCGGGATGGAACACTCTCGGCCCACAACCATCGGGTTGGAATGCCCACACACCTATACATACAATAACTACTACGGGTCCAATCATCCCTCGAGATGGAATACCCCAGGCCCTCAACCATCAGGTTGGAATGCCCACCTACTATCCTACCGGGATGGAATACTCCTGGCCCTCAACCATCGGGTTGGAATGCCCACCTACTATACATACAATAGATACTATGGGTCCAATAATCCCTCGGGATGGAATACCCCAGGCCCTCAACCATTAGGTTGGAATGCCCACCTACTATGAGTCCAATCATCCTACCGGGATGGAATACTCCTGGCCCTCAACCATCGGGTTGGAATGCCCACATACTAGCAAACATGTGCACCTATTAAATAATCATATAACAGTCTACAAGACAACATACTAGGGCCCTATCATCCTACCGGGATGGAATACCCTCTACTACTGCTCAACACGTACACATATAACAGGTAATCTCCTACCAGCATACAGACAGTCAGACCAACTACAGGTCACTAAGCATAGCCACATCCAATCTACCAGAATACCGATCTAACAGAGCATACCATCATATAGCCATCCTATCTACCAAGATGCCAACTAACATAACACAACAGTAACTATCTCAAATAACAAATCAAAGGGCCGGCCTTGGTGCCTTAGACCCGTGGGTATAGTGAGGATAACTCACCTTGCAACTGTCGAGCCAAACCACGAAAGCACAATCTCGAAGCACTGCCCCAAACTCCAATACCTATAGCCATCAATGATCCATTGACATAAATATCCGAATTACCATAATACCCTTGAAGGTCAAACTGGTCAAAGTGAAAGTCCTGGCCAGAGTCAACCTTCCTGATTGACCCTACTCGTCGAGTCAACCCGCTGACTCGCCGAGTTCCTAACTCAGAAAACTCTCATATCACGACTCGACTCGCCGAGTCACCCCATGACTCGTCGAGTTCAACAATCTATGAGTCCTATCATGTCCAACTCACTGAGTTACCACTCAACTCGCTGATCTGAGTCCAGCTGCCGACTCGGCGAGTTGGTTACTTAACTTGCGACCAGAACCCGCTCCGACTCGACGAGTAAGCATACCTACTCGTCGAGTACCTTCTTCAATTTACACTTAAGTCCTTCAACCATACTTCTAAATTTTGGGATGTTACAACTCTCCCCCACTTAAATTAGGCTTCGTCCTCGAAGCCTACTGCAGTATACGATTCTGAATATACCTCTTGCACTGCAGACTCCGATTTCCCAATCAACTCAGGTCCTTCCCGACCCTACCACTGTACCCCCTTTTTAAAATAATTTCTTCTCGTGTGGTATCCTTGCCAATACTCCCGGCCGACCACCGGCCTTTTCTACTAAATGTCAGAACACACCAATCCAGTATCACCCGATGATACTGCCACCTTCCTGACATGAACACACCTTCGAGACTTGCGAAAGTTAGACACCACAATAATCCACTGAGCTCTGCTATAACACTAATCCACCTTTCCTTTGCCCAAAATTGGCGATAACCCGGATAACCTGCAATAGGGAACGAATCCTGTTCCCATCCCGAATCTATTCCCTTCTACAATGACAGGATATTGCATCCTTCAGCTTCTAGCAACTCCCATGAATCAACCAGCTATATCACATAACCATTCGTACCTAGCCCTATCAGCCTCGGGCTGGAATACCAGGTACGCCTATAACGGGTCTCGTCATCCCAAGGATGGTATACCCTCGCATTCCCACGCATGTTTGGCCTAATCAACCCTCGGGTTAGAATACCAAACACACCAGGTCCAATCAATCATAGGGTCCGGTCATCCTCATGATGGAATACCCTAGATTGGAATACCACTACTCACATAACCCATGCCTACAACCATACTTGAAGCCCAAGGATCCAACCTTGCAACTCCCTCAATCTACTCAGATTCGACACAACCGAGTGTAACTCACTCAAATCTCGATATCACGTCTACTCCAAACGTACCATGACAGGAAACATTACTCTCGTGATCCCTAGGTCCACGACCTACGACTGGAATATCCTCACACGGTTCTCAGCCCGGTCTAGACTGCTCCCGAGTCTACCAAGTTCGCTATCTCTAGCTCCTCTGTCCAAATCTCCAATCTGGAGTTACTCACCTTCTCCTCTTCCAAGGAGACCTGAACCATGACCTCGCAT